GTTGGAGGCTCTGTCTCAGCAAATTGGACGCCTGCTTCAAGAAAAGGGTGTCATTAGAATGAGGATTAAAGAAATTGTTGATTATGTTGTAATGAAGTACCATGAATGCGAAGATATTACCAGGTCCATGTTCTTTACTGTTGTGATGACCTTTGTCCGTCATGTGATGGTTGATTTAGAGTTCCTTCTCGAATATATTGCACGCAAGCCCACGTTGAGACTGGCTGATGTCCTGCGAGCCCCCGGAGTAGCATTAGAGGCTCTTATGTATTCTTGATCTTTTTTGGCTTTGAGTCTGTATTCTACTTTTTCGAGTTTGCTTGTTTTTTTCAAGTCTGTTTGTTTTTCTGTTTTGAGCTTGTATGTTTTTTATTTAATCGTTAGTATTTCCAAGTCTTTGTAGTAGAAAACCCCAAAAAGATTTTATTTAATGAAATATTGAAAAAACCTAAAAATATTCTTTTCTTTTATTCCGTATTTATTTCTTGAACTACGTAATGATATGATTCATGCGACGTCATGATACATATGCAATCTCTATCGAATTTGATCATATCCATAGACAATCTGAGTGAAAGAATAAACCAAAAACGAATAAAAAAGAGAGAAAAAAGAGAAAATTTGAGTGAAAAGGAAAGAAAGGAGTGAAAAATAAAAGAGCAAAAAATAGCAAAAAAGAAAGGAAAAGAAATCACGATTTGAATCTGAGAAAAGACATAGCAAAGCCGGGATGAAACACACAGCCGTTGCAAAAATATGTAGAAATGTTTAATTGTTCAGGTGCATTACATCCCCAATATACGATTCCATATCTGTTAAATGTCTCAAACTAACCAGGCTGTTGTGTGTGCAAAAAAGACAGGTCCTATTTAGGTGGTTGGTTTTGTGGTAATCTGGCTTCCCATCCTTACTTCACAAAATCTAAAGCCAGTGTTCCTTTGGCCTCCGAAAGTCATCTGCCAATTATTGAGCCTGAGGATAGTCCAGTATTGGCTATTCCATAGTCAGAGTCGGCAGCCGCTGAAGAAAACAGAAGGTTGCATTGCCATATGTTAAGAGTCCGCAATTGCTGAACTGCTTCCCAAGACGAGTGGAACAACCAGCGTCCCCATCCCCATAACCAACCCATTCATCCAATTTAGGTACCGCACTATACCAGCCAATTTTATCGGTATGCCTTCTGAGGTTCACCCCCAGGCATCATTCCCAAGAGTACCTTCTATAGTATCACCTCACCACTAGTCTCTACTATGGCACAACTAACAGTGCCAAGGCCATGCTTCGAGCCTTCAACTTTCACTTTTCAAGGCCCACAATTTCATCTAGACACAACTAATGTTACCCCAAACTCTTACCCTCAGCACCCGCCATATGAGTCTCCAATGGAACAGGAAATAACAGTGAGAAACCCCGAGCAAGAAGAGAAGGCTCAGAAGATGAAAAGCCTCGAACAAAGTCTGAAGAACATGCAAGGTCTGAGTGGCCAAAAGAGTGTCTCGTACTCCAATCTGTGCATGTTTCCTCATGTTCACTTGACTGCAAGTTTTAAAACGCCAAAATTTGAAAAGTACAATGGACACGGAGATCGCTCATCTGAAAAAATACTGTAACTAGTTGAGGGGTGCTAGTGGAAAAGAAGAATTATTGATGGCTTATTTCGGGGAAATCTTGATAGTAATTACATTACAATGGTACATGGACCAGGATATCTCCCATTGGGATATATGGGATGATTTAGCCTGAGATTTGGTCAGGTAATTTCAATACAATGTTGATATAGTTCCAGATAGGAACTCCCTAACTAATTTCAAGAAGAAAATAGCAGAAAGCTTTTGGGAATACCCTATCAAGTGGCGTGAGCAAGTAACAAGAGTAAACCGACTATGGATGAGACAGAAATGGTCAATGTTTTCTTGCAGGCCCAAGAGGCCGATTACTTTCAGAACATGATGTCTACCATGGGCAAACCTTTTGCAGAGGCCATAAAATCAAAGAAATGGTAGAAAACGACCTGAACACTAGCCGGATCATAAGTCAATCTGCTTTGAGTGCCACTTTCCAAGCCATCCAGAACGGCTTGGGAGGTTTAGCAAATCGAAAGAAGAGGGAAGAAGAAGCCATGATGGCTTCAGGTTCTAGAGGCCCCTGTCTATCCCGTGATCATTCTTACCTACCTCCCAGAACCCCACAACACTACTACCCCCATTAAGATGCAGCATATACCGTGGCACCGCCTCCCTATGCGGTGATGAATTCCCAACCCTATACACGGCCACAACAGCACTACAACCAAAGCCGAGCTCTACCTCCAAGAAATAACCATCCTTACCAAGCTCCATATAATCCCCGTCCACTACAAAACAACTACCAACATAATACATGCCCCCATGAGCCTATAAGAAGAAATGACTTCACCCCTATTAGTGAGTCCTACTCTAGCCTATTTCCAAAATTAATCCATATGGGTCTATTGCAACCTGTGCCTCCAAACCGGTAAAATTCTGAATCTCCATCATACCGGCCCGGTACCAGGTGTGCCTGTCATTCAGGGGTAGAGGGTAATGATATGAAGGATTGTTAGACTCTCAAGCGGGTAGTTGGTAAAATAAAAACGAGTGGTGCTGAGGGACAAGGAAGTCCCCAATGTGACTAACAATCCATTACCGGCTCAAAACAATGGGCTAGTCATTGGAATGATATGTGATGATAAAGAGTTTGATCCATCCTTGAAAGCCATCATCGCCATTGCCAATTCAGAGGCAAGACCCAAAGTGGCGGCGAAATAAGCTAGAAATGAGAAAAGAAGCACTCCAATCCCTCAAGTTGAAGAAAACACAATAGAAACAAAAATCGAGACAGCACCTTCTAAGGACGCAATTCTCTATGTTCCTAAGGCCCCAAGGAAGGAACAACTCATGTCGAACAATCCCAAAAGATTTGAGCAAAGGAAAATCACGCTGAACGTGCCAAAGTTATATGTGCCAAAAGGGAATTATATGGTGCGAGGGCCTATAATTCCACCATGGCTGACTGAGCCTGTGGTTAGCAGCCTTGCACTACAGAGCCCTATGAGATACCCCACTACAGTCCCCTGGAATTACAACAAAATAGTGGTTATATACAAGAGGAAAGAGATTATGGGAGAGGTGAACGGAATGAACCAATCTGGGAAGTACCACAACCCAGAAGAGCTAAAGAAGTTAAAACTTAACAATGATAAACGGTTTCCACCCAAGAAGCTTATGAGCGCTGAAGAAGCAGAAGAATTTTTCCGAAAAAATGAAAACTTCGGAATATGCCATAGATGATCAACTCCAAAAGACTCCTTCCTAAGTTTCGCTTTTATCCCAGCTGTTGAACATAAATGAACATAAGAAGGCACTCTTTAAAACATTGAACGAGGCATATTTCCCGGTTGAAACATCAGTTGAACAATTGGAGAGAATGGTTGAATGATTCTTCAAAGTTAACAGGATTTATTTTAGCCGTGATGATTTTCCCCCAGAGGGAGCCGCCCACAACAAAGACCTTCTCTTGATTGCCAAATGTGAAGGTTATTATGTGAAGAGAGTCATGCTAGATGGCGGGTCCGAGATCGATATTTTCCCTCTCTCTACGCTCCAAAGGATGGAAATTGGAACAGATAGAATTCGACAAAATAATGTTTGTGTGCGTGCTTTTGATGGCGTCAAGAGAGACACAATAGGGGAAATTTATTTGATTTTGACCATTGGCCCTGTGGATTTCGAAGTGAATTTCCAGGTTCTGGACATGGATACTTCATATAATTTTCTCCTAGGAAGACCATGGATTCACGTTGCAGAGGCTTTGCCCTCCACTATCCATCAAATGGTCAAAGTTGAGTTTGAAAACAAAGAAATTGTTGTACATGGGGAGGATGAACAATCCATTTATAGGGACCCTTTAGTCCCGTGTCTCGAAGTGAGAGAACAAAGTGAGCACATTGTCTATCAAGCCTTCAAAATTGTGGTCGCCGACCAATGCGAAGAAGGGGCCACATTCCCTCAACCTTGCTTATCTAATGCATCGGTCATGGTCGCCAGTGAAATGATTAAACAAGGGTACAAGACTAGAAAGGGGCTCGGTGTATCTCTACAAGGCATCACAAAGCCCATCACTTCGACCGCCAATGAGAAGTTCTTCGGTGTATGTTTCCAAGCTACAAATGCCGATATAAGATGGGTCGATGAGCGCAAGAAAAATGGATGGGTCCTGCCCGAGCCTATTCCGTATCTTACCAAGTCATTTGTTAAACCCAAGTATGTAGAAGAAGAAGAGGCCTTCACGGCTGAAGAGATTGAGGATATTTATGAATCCATGAAACAAATGTTGTATGAGTCCCACATGGTCCAGCCAGGGGAAGGCATGAGCACTACTGAGGTGCTGTACATGGGACTAAATGCCAAGCTTTAGAATTGGCAAGCTACCCCATTCCTTGTTAGGTAGGAATCCCGGTAGTCCAGTCTTGCATCTTTTCTACATTACGAGTTATTCCAGGGGGTAACTCGAATGTTTTACTTTACTGTCTTTTGATCTCGATGTAAACCCTCATATCTTCAATTCTTGTCTTTTTCTTTTCTGTTATAATAATACAGACTTAAATAACATGACATGCTTGCGGACTTCATGCCTAGATCCGAAAACATTTTCTAACTGTGAAATAATGAATCAAGAACTAGAATATGATGAAGATGAGACTTTGAGGGAAATAAATCGAGAGCTGGAACAATTTGAGAATAAACCTAAGCCAAACTTATATGAAACTGAGCCAGTTAATATGGGCAGTTCAGGAAACCATGATAAGCATTCACGCCGATTAAATAACTAGAGATGCATTGATCCAACTTTTGTTTGAATTCAAAGACGTGTTTGCATAGTCCTATAATGATATTCCAGGGCTAAGTGTTGATTTGGTGCTACATAAATTTCCAACTTATCCCGGTTATCCACCCGTCCAACAAAAGCATAGAAAGTTTAAAATGGACATCAATGATAAGATCAAAGAAGAAGTCACCAAACAATTGAAAGCTGGTGTGATTCGGGTGGTCCGATACATCACAGAGTTGGCTAACGTGGTCCCAGTGCCGAAGAAAGACGGGAAAACTCGAGTGTGTGTTGATTATCGGTATTTGAACAAAGCAAGCCCTAAAGATAACTTTCTATTTCCAAATATCCACATTCTTATTGACAATTGTGCCAAACATGAGATACAGTATTCCATGGATTGTTATGCTGGATATTACTAGGTTCTGATGGATGAAGAAGACGCAGGAAAGACAGCTTTCACCATACCTTGGCGCATAGACTGTTACAGGGTCATGCCATTTGGTTTGAAAAACACTGGGGTGGCCTACATGAGAGCTATGATTGCCATCTTCCATGACATGATGCACCAGCAAAGTGAGGTGTATGAGGATGATGTGATCATTAAATCCAAAACTCAGTAAGACCATGTGCGGGATTTGAGAAGGTTCTTGAGCGCCTGCGTAGGTATAATTTGAAATTGAATCCAGCTAAATATGCATTTGGAGTTCCATCTGGGAAACTTCTGGGGTTTATAGTCAGCCAGAGGGGTATCGAACTAGATCCAACAAAAATAAATTTTATTCGGGATTTGCCACCTCCGATAACCAAGAAAGAGGTCATGAGTCTGCTAGGAAGATTGAATTACATCAGCAGATTGATTGCTCATCTTACTACCATGTGTGAGCCCATATTTAAGTTGTTGAAGAAAGATGCATCGATCAAATGGATGGATGAGTTTCAAGAAGATTTCGACAAAATCAAAGAATATCTATTAAATCCACTAGTGTTGGTTCCACCCGAGCCAGGAAGACATTTGTTCTTGTATCTGAAAATCTTGGAAAATTCCTTCGGCTGTGTCTTGGGGAAACATGATGTGACCTGGAAGAGAGAGCAAGCCATATATTACCTGAGCAAGAAGTTCACTAGTTATGAAGCCAAATAAACTCTGTTAGAAAAAACTTGTTGCGCCCTAATTTGGGTCGCCCAGAAGCTTAGACATTATATTTTGGCTTACACCACATATCTTATATCCAGAATGGATCCTTTGAAGTACATATTCCAAAAATCAATGCCCACGGGAAGGCTAGCAAAACGGCAAATCCTGCACTAAGTTTGACATTGTTCATGTCGCCCGCATAGTAATGAAAGCTCAAGCCTTGGTGGAAATCCGGTTGATGATGAATACCAACCCTTAAATACTTACTTTCCAGATAAGGAAGTGAACTCAGTTGAAGTAATTCCAGAGGACACAAATTCTTGGAAAATATTCTTTGATGGAGCTGTAAATGCAAAAGGTGTTGGGATTGGAACAATTCTGATTTCGCCCACAGGTCAACACTATCCGGCAATAGCCCGTCTTCGGTTCTTCTATACCAACTACACTGTTGAGTATGGAGCATGCATTATGGGCATGAATATGGCGATGGATCTGGATGTGGAGGAATTGTTAATCATGAGAGATTCTTATTTGATCATTCAGCAAGCCCAAGGTGAATGGAAAACTCGAGACATCAAACTCATCCCATACAGGCAACATGTGGAAGATCATAGCAAACGGTTCAAATCTGTCGAGTTCAGGTATATTCCTCGATTTCACAACGAGTTAGCTGATGCACTAGCTACTTTGGCTTCAATGCTGTTGTATCCGGGTAATGTCCATATTGACCTGTTGGAAATCCAAATTCGAGAAAGGCATGGTTTCTGTAATACAATTGAAATCTAACCAGATGTTCAGCCATGGTATCATGATATCAAAAGATTTTTGTAAACAAAGGAATATCCCGATCATGCTAGTGAAAATCAAAAGAGAACTATCAGAAGGCTTTTAAGCAGTTTCTTTTTGAGCGGAGAGGTCTTGTACAAAAGAACTCCAGATTTGAATCTTTTGAAGTGCGTAGATGCCCGAGAAGCTAAAAAGATCATGAACGAAGTGCATTTGGGAGCATGTGTCCCCCACATAAATAGATATGTCCTTGCAAAGAAAATCCTTCGGGCTGGTTATTACTTGATGACCATGGAAAAGGATTGCTTCAGTTTTGTCCGAAAGTGTCATCAGTGTCAGATACATAGTGACCTGATTCATGCACCACCCTCAGAGTTGCATCCTATGTCAGCACTTTGGCCGTTCGTTTCTTGGGGTATGGATGTTATTGGGCTGATTGAACCGAAAGCTTCAAATGGGCACAGATTCATCTTGGTTGCCATTGATTATTTCTCAAAGTGGGTTGAAGCAGTCACTTTCAAAGTAATTACCAAGAAAGTTGTGGTGGAATTTGTGTACTCCAACATTATTTGTCGTTTTGGTATTCCTAATACTATCATCACAAACAATGCTGAAAATGTGAATAGCCACTTGATGAGGGAGGTATGTGAACATTTTAAAATTACGCATCATAATTCTACCCTTTACCAGCCCAAAACTAATGGTGTCGTTGAAGGTGCAAACAAGAATATCAAGAAAATCCTCAGGAAAATGATTCAAAGTTATAGACAATGGAATGAAAAGCTACCTTTTGCACTATTGGGATATCGCACAACCGTGCGCACATCAGTTAGGGCCATGCCTTACTTATTAGTTACGGCACTGAAGCAGTAGTACCTGCAAAAGTTGAGATCCCCTCTCTTCCAATCATTATTGAAGCTGAGATCGAGGATGATGAATGGGTCAAGACCCGATTGGAACAATTAACTATGATTGATGAAAAGCGGATGACCACAATTTGCCAAGGACAGTTGTACCAACAAAGAATGATCTGTGCCTACATTAAGAAAGTGCTACCCAGGAAATTTGAAGTGGGGAAACTCGTTCTGAGACGTATTCTCCCGCATCATGAAGAAGAAAAAGGAAAATTTGCTCCAAATAGGAAAAGTCCTTATATTATAAAAAGAGTGTTGCCGAGGGGAGCGTTGTATTTGTGGGATATCGAAAGAAATGACACCGAAGCAGTTGTCAATGCAAATGCAGTCAAAAAGTATTATGTTTGACCCTTTTCGCAACTTTAATACTCTCCGATTAGGATGATAGAGGCTTTCATTCTCTCTACCCAAAAACTACCAACCCTTGCAAACCTTTTGAGCCGGTTCCTTTTCTTTGATTACCCTCTTTGGAACCTGAAAAAAAAAGGAAAAAAACAAAAGAAAAGAGAAAAACAAAGTTCCTTGAACTACGTTCGACTTGATTCCGAAAGGATACGTAGGCAGCCTCTTTTTGGTGTCCAGTTACACCAAAACAATAATCCATATTTCCCCAAAGTTGAAACTGGGGCAGAAGTTACAATGATTTGGCGATGGTTTCGCTTGAAAGGTTCCCAAGTTGTAACTCAATCCAAATCCTTTTTACCCAAATCCTTTTCAAGTCCTTCTAATCAGTCAGTGAGAATGTTCAAGGATCGGAGAATACAACTACTTGGATCTGATGCAATTAAAATGAGCGAAATAAAATGAGAGACTCTTATCGGTTAAAACCCCTACGGGCACCATAAGGCGATTGTAAGAAGGGAAATTGAAAATGAGAGAGTCTTGTTAGAGAAACTCACAAAGAGCACTATAAGGCGATGGTGATAAGAGAAATGAGAGAGGTCAGCGGGTGAAAACCCACAAAGGGCACAAATGATCGAAGAGAGGATCTTCACAACTATCGGCATCGGCAGAGTCTTGGTAAGGTTTCTCGATTTTGAGGCAAAAGTTGTGATGAATTTCTGAAAGTTGGATAGTTTACACAGATTGGGCATCCAGTTTAAGAGGCATGTCATGTTTATTAAAGTCCCATGCACTCCATATAAGTCCTTTCTTTTCCCCGAAGGGGATACCTTTTGTCTAAATTCGTTATCCATTCCATTATCTATTTTTCCTTTGAATCCCTTTCGGTCTAACTCTGTTCCAAAAATTAAGGCAAACAAAGTATGGCAAGACTGACTTACAGGGATCTCGTTTGGTACAAGTCAATATGCAAAAAAGGCATCCAGCCTCGGCAGGGGCATCAAGTTGACTCCGACTGGCCATGGTGGCGATTCTTCGAAATCAAAAACTCTTAAAAGAATAAAATTGAAATCAAATACCCACAAAGGAAAAATAAAGTCGAAAAGGTTAAGTCTCATGTGACTGACTGTTATGACAAGGTTTGGAAAAGCCAAAGGTTTCTCTGGGGCTAGAGATGAAATCGGTCTTCAAGGAACAACCAGTTGCAGTTGAAAATATCATCAAAGAAGACGGGACGAGTTCGATTGACTGAAACAATCAAGGCCACAAAATCAACCACCATTTCAAACTAACAATCGTTCTTTGTGTGAAAAAAAGGAAACATGTGTAATCCAAAAGCAACCTTGCAAAAGCTAGGTGCAACCAAAAAGACACCGCGCGGAGACTAAAATAGCTCCGTAGCAGTAATAACCCCAAAAGGAAAGTCTTCTCCAAATTCTTTCCAGCATTTTATTAATTCTCTTAATAAAAGAAAAAAGATAAAAGAAAGAAAATTCAAATTCATGGTAGCATAGGGTCTCCACTCCCTAGTTGATGATTTTTAGACATAGGGTCTCCACTCCCTAGTTGATGATTTTTAAACATAGGGTCTCCAATTCCTAGTCGCTTTTCCAAAATAGGGTCTCCAATTCCTAATTGATGTTTTTAGACATAAGGTCTCCACTCCCTAGTCGCTTTTCCAACATATGGCCTCCACTCCCTAGTTGATGTTTTTTAGACATAAGGTCTCCACTTCCTGTCGCGCCCCCTTTTTCTCGCAAAACCGGGTTTTGACATTTCTGGGACAACTCATTTTTTGAAAGGGTAGGGAATTGTAAGAGTCTTCACCTAACAGATTAAGGTGCATTTGGGCACCTAGAGCAAATAACTCATATAACCAGTTTACACCACCAGAGATTGGGTAAGGGCTCGAAATTACCTCAGGGGAAAGGAGTTAGGCACCCCTCGAGGTCCACAACGGTGGATCCATACAAACTTAAATTAAGCGAATTAATCTAAAAAGGGAAGAAAAGAATTTGGACAAATACAATATTCAATTTATTTTAAACAGGAGTATTGGGGGTGATCCTAAGTTTTTTAGCCTATATGATCATTCCATGCAATACTTCGTAACTCCCTCAAGTCGGGGTATTGTTCATAGCATTAACGCAAGAACTATCATCTCCTTACTACTCCAATTACTATCTTTAAGTTGTTACTTTAGCGTTTTAGAAGTTTCTAGCTTGTTCCTTATGCGTGCACTACGCGTTCCTTACCTATGGCCCTGGAGGTTTTAGGACCTTGGGATGGTTCTAGACCAACCTATCTTACTTAAAAATGTTAAATCTAGGCGACAAACAAAAACAAATAGGACTTTCAAATAAAGGACAAGCTTGGGGTCACATTGACCTCCACACATAGACAACAAAAGCACACAATTGAATCAACGAACTTTATTAACTTTGGAATCCTATAGGCAGGATATCTATGTGAGAAAATAGAATGCAAAGACAACTTTGTTAAGGCGAGCATTAAGACCTATTTGTTTTCCTACTGATTTTATTCAGCATGAATCTGGGCACTTCAGGCAGTAATTTTTCACAATTATAAACCCAGAATCATTATTTAGTCCTACAGATATATTTCTTAAGTGATTGACAATAGCGAATGAATTCAGGATTGATCGACAGAATCCTAAAGCCATGATCTCTACAAGCTTGTTGATTATAGACCTATAGACATGGTTTCTAAGCGTAGCACTGATTTTGACTTGCAGGGATAGATTTTATTCCCTTTTAATCCTATATGCATGATTTCTAATTACTGAATTGACTTAAACCTTATAGGCATGATTTCTAAATTTGAAATTGATTTAGTCCTATAGGCATGATATCTACTACTGGATTGATTCAAACCATATAGGCATGATTTCTATGTTTGAATGGATTTAAATCCTATATGCATGATATCTATTAATTATATATGGGCAGAAATTAAATAGATTTTCAAGAAGGATAGTTAATTCAAACAACAAGATTCTATAGGCAGCTTGCTAATGCACATTTATTGGAAACATGTACAAATCCTATGAGTGGGATTTCTAATATACATAATTAAATAAAAGTCCTATAATCAGGATTTCTAGTATGCCAATGTAAAATATAGAGAAATGATCATGAAAGCCCTATAGGCAGGGTGTCTAAACACAATATATAATGCACATAGTTTTCACTTAAACGAACAGAATTGACATCATAATTAAATCCTATAGGCAGGACTTCTAACCAATTTTAACAAAAGATATAAGAAGAAACCCCCGAGCTTTACTAAATATCCATGAATCTATTATTACATAATTGTTATAGACCAGAATAGCCGAATTACATTAAGGTATCAGTTACACTATAGGGAGCCTTCATAGGCCCAAGTGAACCTGGGAACTAGGCCTTCTAACATAACAATCACATAGTGATTCCTCCACAGTCCATTTGAAACAGGTTTCTAGTGTGTCAAAGTTTCAAAGGAGTCTTATGTGGACCCTAGGCAGTGCTCACACTGGGCGTTGGGAACCTAAGGGAATAGAGTGGGGGTTTAAAATTAGTACATAAAAGGTAGAAGGGACATGTTTTAAAAATAGTTAGGTTTCAGAAGAAACAGGATTCAGAACATAGAGTTGCAGGTAGAACTGCACCGAGGAAACATACAAAATTCATGCTTAAATACATAGTTCAAATAAGTTGAAGTCTAGTTAAGCTAAATACTCAT